ATTTTCTGTTTTTTGGAGGGCTGGCAACCACTGGTTATCAATATAGGTTTTCTGTAATTGTATTTTTGTTTGTATACTATTGAATTCTGCATTATCATTTACATTTGTTATTTCCTGTAATTTGTTCTCAAATGCTGTCCATGTATTGCCATTTAGTTTGCTTTCTGACTTGAATGCACATTGAACCAAAGGGCTGCATTCTGAATTCAATATTCTCCTTAGGTATTTTAGCATTTGTGTACATATATCAGTGATGATTGGGTAGCTTCCAAGCTCTGCTCTAGAAGCAATGTTACTGGACCTTTTATGTACATCGAGTGTTTGCTTGCAAAATTTGATGTGCAATATATGAAGCTATGACCTTTATTTGTCCTGTTTTTACATTTGATTTAGCTCGGAACACAGGATCTCGAGAAAGGTGGAATGTGGTTTATTTTTTTATATTTTTTTTTTTATAATGTTTTTGTGCCAGGCGATAGTTCCGGACATTGAATGTCTCTGTTGTCTTTCCTGACTTTTTTATTCTTTTTTGTAAGTGCAAATTGCTAATGCTAGTGCTGACACATAGTGTATATTGCCACAGAAGTCATTTCCTGTTTGGGACTACATGACAGGGCTGTGTGGCCATCTCCCTATCAAATGGCAATTTGTAATGAGCTATCCTGGCGTCAACCAAGCTCGGTCCAACACAAGCATCTGCGGACCTTAACCAAGGTTTCCCCAAAGTCGCATTCGTTAGTGAATGAATTTCAGCCAGTGGAATTGGCCTTCCCATTGAGTCTGCGGCACACTCACCCAGGGTAAGGGTCGACCCTTTTGATGTTCAGCCTAAGGTAAGATTTGAACTTGAGTCTAACGATCATGAGTCTGATGCGACAACCACTATGCTACCAGTGGCCGGTATGTGGTCTATTAATACCCTCAAGAACATGCAATTACGTCATGTGTATTCTAGTCAGAATTGAAGAACAACAAATATACTATGAATGATTCTCACAACTAATTGGAATTTCAGCATATACACTGAGTACACTCGGCAAAAGGGGTAAACACTTATACGTTTGCCCAAACTACTTTTCTGGGTTCTGCGCATGCTCTAGGTCCATGCCCAGAATTGTCATCATTTGGTGCACATATTTACACTCGGACCAAACCATTTTCTCATCTTTGATGATTTTTATTTATTTTCTGTTAGTTTTGTCCATGATTGGATAGAAAAAAAAAAACTAACTACAATATACTCCAAAATTTTGTTTATACTTCATTAAAAAATAAATTAAATTGTTTTTGTAGGATGGAAACTTTTTGAGGTCAAACCCCCACCTCCAAACTAAAGCAAATAAGTTTTTTTATCTGACATCGATCTTTTGACGTCATCCCTTAGTGTTATGCCTGTCGTTAATGATTAGTGTTTCTTGCATGTGACTGGACCAACTACTAAAATGGTATACAAAACGTCATACAGAATTATGCGAATCAATCGTGATTTAAAACACAAAAAAACATGCAGGTGACCAATAATTCATATTACTTTATTCATATTTCAAATATGAAACTCCTCAAGAATAGTGCTTTTGAAAATCTAAGAACCAATCTTTTCTTTAATCTCATAAAATTCAGCAAAATGAATGTGTTATTCATATTGTTCTCCACGTCTATGTTATGGGAAGACCCAAGCCGCAAGCTTTCTTGTACATGGAGCGCCACGTCTATGTTATGGGGAGACCCAAGCCGAAAGCTTTCTTGTGCATGGAGCGCCATGTCTACATGTATGTTATGGGGAGACCCAAGCCGAAAGCTTTCTTGTACATGGAGCGCCACGTCTATGTTATGGGGAGACCCAAGCCGAAAGCCTTCTTGTGCATGGAGCGCCACGTCTATGTTATGGGGAGACCCAAGCTGAAAGCTTTCTTGTACATGGAGCGCCACATCTACATGTATGTTATGGGGAGACCCAAGCCGAAAACTGTCTTGTACATGGAGCGCCACGTCTATGTTATGGGGAGACTCAAGCTGAAAGCTTTCTTGTACATGGAGTGCCACGTCTATGTTATGGGGAGACCCAAGCCGAAAACATTCTTGTATATGGAGCGCCACGTCTATGTTATGGGTAGACCTAAGCTGAAAGCTTTCTTGTACATGAAGCGCCACGTCTATGTTATGGGGAGACCCAATCCAAAAGCTTTTTTGTGCATGGAGCACCACGTCTATGTTATGGGGAGACCCAAGCCGAAAGCTTTCTTGTACATGGAGCGCCATGTCTATGTTATGGGGAGACCCAAGCTGAAAGCTTTCTTGTACATGGAGCGCCACGTCTATGTTATGGGTAGACCTAAGCTGAAAGCTTTCTTGTACATGAAGCGCCACGTCTATGTTATGGGGAGACCCAATCCAAAAGCTTTTTTTGCATGGAGCACCACGTCTATGTTATGGGGAGACCCAAGCTGAAAGCTTTCTTGTACATGGAGCGCCACGTCTATGTTATGGGGAGACCCAAGCTGAAAGCTTTCTTGTACATGGAGCGCCACGTCTATGTTATGGGGAGACCCAAGCCAAAAGCTTTCTTGTGCATGGAGCGCCATGTCTATGTTATGGAGAGACCCAAGCCGAAAGCTTTCTTGTACATGGAGCACCACGTCTATGTTATGGGGAGACCCAAGCCGAAAGCTTCCTTGTGCATGGAGCGCCACGTCTATGTTATGGGGAGACCCAAACTGAAAGCTTTCTTGTACATGGAGCGCCACGTCTATGTTATGGGGAGACCCAAGCTGAAAGCTTTCTTGTACATGGAGCGCCACGTCTATGTTATGGGGAGACCCAAGCCAAAAGCTTTCTTGTGCATGGAGCGCCATGTCTATGTTATGGAGAGACCCAAGCCGAAAGCTTTCTTGTACATGGAGCACCACGTCTATGTTATGGGGAGACCCAAGCCGAAAGCTTCCTTGTGCATGGAGCGCCACGTCTATGTTATGGGGAGACCCAAACTGAAAGCTTTCTTGTACATGGAGCGCCACGTCTATGTTATGGGGAGACCCAAGCTGAAAGCTTTCTTGTACATGGAGCGCCACGTCTATGTTATGGGGAGACCCAAGCCGAAAACATTCTTGTATATGGAGCGCCACGTCTATGTTATGGGGAGACCTAAGCTGAAAGCTTTCTTGTACATGGAGCGCCACGTCTATGTTATGGGGAGATCCAAGCCGAAAACTTTCTTGTATATGGAGCGCCACGTCTATGTTATGGGGAGACCTAAGCTGAAAGCTTTCTTGTACATGGAGCGCCACGTCTATGTTATGGGGAGACCCAAGCCGAAAACTTTCTTGTACATGGAGTGCTAAGTCTATGTTATGGGGAGACCCAGCCAAAAGCTTTCTTGTACATGGAGCGCCACGTCTATTTTATGGGGAGACCTAATCCGAAAGCTTTCTTGTACATGGAGCGCCACGTCTATGTTATGGGGAAACCAAAGCTGAAAACATTCTTGTACATGGAGCGCCACGTCTATGTTATGGGGAGACCTAATCCGAAAGCTTTCTTGTACATGGAGCGCCACGTCTATGTTATGGGGAAACCAAAG